GGTCGTCTTCTGGGATGTTGGGTCGTGTAGTCTGGGAGAAGTTTACCGACGTTTCATAAGTGCTTGCTGCCTCCATCATCAGGGCGACGAGTCATCGCCTTGAAAATGGAGTGTCAAATAAACTAATGAATAATTTTGTTAAAGAAAATTGTCGAGAGACATGTGAACCTGTTTCCAGTGGTAGACCTTACTTAATAGCAGTTTTAATTAACTGACATTGTGTTTAAATAAATTGTACTCATTTATAAACTCATTATCCCGCGATCAGATAAGAGATATCGAATGTGGTCCCAGGTATGATGAAAAGATGGTCATGAAAGGTGAATAGATAAGGATGTGGAATAAGGCGGTAGTGGTATGTTTAAAGGTACTGAACCGACTGAAGTAAGCCACGAAATGTATCGTAAGTGACAGAAGATAATCCGGTTTAAATTGGTATACGGTACGTCGTGAGTTAGAATCTAGAGCGTTATAGCTAAATTAACCTACTCAAAACAAAAGTAAACATCCTTATATGTTCGCCGTATGCATATTCAAATTATTGCATAATGACAGGCAAATTCTGCGAGTGGTTTTAATGTAATGTGTACAAACTTGTCTGGTACACACTCAGCTGTAACCAATAATCTCACCTGAGCTCTCTGCCCCTTCATTGATGCCTGCAAGGTCAGCGCTATACGCAATCACTTGGCCGAGGTCCGTAAGCTACGAAAAAGAAAGTGGTAACTGCATTACATTTCAAAAGAGAAGAAAATGAAGATGGTTCTGGCTAAAATTTTGGACAATGTCCATCGTCTGTTGTAACACGACGTATATTCATGGCTTGGACTTAGTAAGCGTTCAGGGATGGACACTAGCTCCCTCTAAGGGACTCCGCAGAGTACGAACCTTTTTGTCCTCCGTATTTTACCTGATGACGGAGACAGATCCAGTACCCGAAACGTCGTGTTTCGTGAGAAACAACAGACGATTGATGTGAACAATTTTAGCCAAAACTACTACAATTCACCAGCGTAAATATCCTTTAGAATGATCTTCTGGACTATTGTGCTGTGTAGTCGGGTAGAATTTTACTACGTTTTAAAGGTGCTTACCGCCTTTACCACAAGGCCGATCATCGCCTTGATAAAGGAGGAAATATCCCAGAAGTTTGTCATTTCTATAATCGCCGCTGAGAAACTTGAAATCTCACATAAAATACCTTGTTTCTATTTTGCTAAATGCACACAGAGGCATGAAGTTTGCTGTAAGTTTGACAGCTAAAACCGACTGGAACGGAATTCGCCGTGGCCAATATTATCGTTATTTGCTCAGCAAGACTGATAAAAAACCACCGATATCTGTCCGGATAATAACCGATTTCGAACCGAGTACTTTCGAAACATAAGGCAGCCGCTTTAAAGTCTGCTTTGACTAGACCCCCGTGTAGTCTGGAAGAAGTTTACCGAAGTTTCAGATTTATCGCCTTGATGATGGAGGCAGAGAGAACCTCTGAAACGTAGGTAAACTTCTACCAGATTACACGGCGCAACAGCCCAGAAGACAGCCATCTTCGGACAAGACGCCGTAAAAACCTCAAATCCTACAGAAGTGTCTTCCCTACCCCGACTGGCGAAGTTCTGCCAGGTGCATTTGACTAGTGAGAATTTGGTCGTTTTGGGCGAGACGCGTACTAGACCACTTGTTGATTTTACCAACAGGTGAAATGACCCAGTTAGCTGTAACCAGCGTGGACAGACGTCACGTGAGTGAAGATCCTTATATTTAACTCTAGACGTACTGTTAGTAATCGATGATATGGTTTACCTAGTTTCAATCCGTGTTAAGAGACAGAGACTTGTAGTTCTTTTACCTTATTCATGTATTTTGTAAGTTATAACAACTTATTTAATCCATACACATTATACAAATTACTTAGGACTGAAAACGTGAAAACATTTGTCTAATATTGGTCCTTGGGCCAAGTACTTAGACGTCTCTGTGCTTCTGATACGGAAGGAAAAGCCTTCTCTTACACAAGGCGTCTTAGAATCTTTCAAGGATGAAATTAAATGCTTTGGTTATAAAAGCAGAAAATATCTTGATGAAAACGATTTCTGTATCTGTCAATTTGGTCCTGTTTTCTTATGAGTTAGAATTTATTTCTGTGCCAGATCATGTGTTAAAAGTCACTGAGAACTAGGCCTATTTAAAAAGCGAAGCCAAAAGTAGGCTTTCTTGCAGGACAACATATAATTTCCTCTTTAGGGACCAGTCATAAAACCTTACTTTAATACGGAAAAGTAAAGCTCTTTGCAACTGATGCTTTGCTGTGAGCCTGGCGCATTATCGATTTGCTCGTGTGTTGCCATAGAAACAGCACAGTGTACATGTCTTCGGCCTTGGAGGGACGCTTTATTCATAATTGAGTTAATGATATCATATATATTATAACTTAAGCATTAAATATTCTGATTTAAATAGGCAGAATGTGTGATCTCAGTGATATAAACACAGATTAACGTAAATAGAATGTTTTAACCAGAGCTGCTAGTGGTTAATTCGAAAGGGTAGCATGGACTGTCGTCTTCTGGTTTGTGACGCCGTAGATGGGAACCAGGGAAACCTCCCACAAGAAGAAAACTGAAAAAAAGACATCTTTACCACCGTGGCAATATTTCATTATAGGCTAAAATTCAAAAAAAGCTTACGGGTTTAATCGAGACTAGTTTCTCACTTTGAATGACATTGAAAGTGTTGTGGTTCGGTGGTTCGAATCTTGCAAATTATTCAATTGTTTTCCACCATCGGCTCCAGTGCAGGCTAAGCTGGTTGAAGTTCGTGATTTTCCTCAGTACTTTCGTCATTTTAAAATAGGCCGCATCGCTCCTAGTTCCGTCATTCACTACCATTCGATCCGTTTAATTGAGCAGTTGGGGAAAAAAACGTAAACTAAAATCAAAATTATGCTGATAAATAAAAAAATTAAATTGTCTCAGTATAATTTTGACCACTTACAGTAGGAGAGAATATATACGAACTTCTTCGTACCCCTGTAGAGGAAACATCCTTTTGAAAAGGTAACAGTTACTCAGATTCTCAATACATTTTATAAAAATAACGAATGGGAATCACCATATGACGTAGGGAGTGTATGCTGAAGGTCTTAAGAAAGTGATTCTGCTACATGAAGGTTGGATACTCACCAACCACAGAACTCCAAGAACAATCGACCCAGTTCTAAGAGAACAGCAACCACAAAATGCAGTCTTCAACATCATATTGGCTCACAACCGTTCTTCCGTGCTAAAATAATGAAAAATATTACATTATCACAAACACAAAATTAAGTTTAAAACATCAATTTAAAGAAGATGTCCCCGGAATGTTGCGCCATGTAGTCTTGTAGAAATTTGCAGATGTTTCAGAGGCGTTTGTTGAGATCAGGGTGAGAGCTCTCAGATAACCATGATAACCTCAAATTTAACAAACGCAGGGGAAATTAATGTGGTTAACACGAGCCGAAAATGTAAAATTTATTGCTCGAATGCAAGTAACTTCCTCAGTTACTGAGATGGTATGCTCAGACGGTTGCATCAACGTCTGAAAGCAATTCTGTGATTGGTTGTGACAGCAGGCACTTTGCTACAATTATCAACATCAACACCATTGCAAAAAATATAATTACAGTTCCATTTAAAATGTTTTGTACTTATAGTAGATCTCTTAATATTTTAATAAGAAGGCTTATGTTTTCTTTACAAGGTTTAAACAACTAAAAATAATTTGCTGAGAAGAAAAATACAAAAGTTTATCTTATAGAGCATTCATTACAGTGGATCTAATTAGTAAACAATCAATGGCATCTCTAATTAATTTATAACACTTTGTTTTGACTAACAATGTAATTGTTAGACCTTGTTAACAAGTACAGGTATTGATTCTTAATTTTAGACAATTAAGAAACATTTAAAAAAACGTAGCCTAAAACTACTTAATTTTACTTTGAAATTGTATAATTTCTCTGGAAGTTTTCTGTAAATTTATTAATTCTATTATTTAAACGACATACAAACACTTAAATAGTCAGTTCTCAGTCATCTGGGAAATTATATGTAATCAATATTATCGTACTCACCGAAAAATCAATGGCACTAAATGCTGTGAACTTTATGTCAATAGACAATCTCTCATTTAAAGGGGTAGGATCTCAGCCATTATAATTGGTCGGCCTGACACACAGCGCACGCCACTTTGAAACTGGTATAAATACAAAATAATATATTACGTTTATAAGGTTTCCACAGGTTGTTACGTCCTGCCTCCTCGGCGTCTCGACGCCGAATGCCTGTGACCTGTTTTCAGCCTCCACACCCACTCGTGGCGTCGACTCGACCGTTTTAAGCTCCACTGAACTATAAACAAGTATTAATTTACTTGCCTTTGGCGTGGTGCATTAAGGCTTCCGAAGGATTGCAAATTTTGAATTTAATTTGTTTCCTTTTATTAGTAAACGTTTTCATATCAATATATAAATGAATATTATTACTTCATACGCAGATTATGCAATTACATTTGAAGTTATTGCGACACTGAAAATGTTAATTGGCACGCATTACAAAGGAAGGCATTGCACAATTCACAATTCGGTCACTCAATCCGCATTGATAAATCATTATTGGTTTACTAAGTGTTTGTATGTACTTAGAAGAATTACTAATATTCTTTTAATTTTAAAGCTGTAACATGAATAATTAATTTTGTAGCAGCCCAAAGCGACTCATCTCCCTGATGATGGAGACAACAAGTGCTTTTAAAACGTCGTCAACTTCTACCAGAGCAAATAACGCCAACAACCCAGAAGACAAAAATCTTCATATTCACTGCTGTGACAACCTCAAATCATATACAACCTTTTCATGCTCGATCTGTTTAGAAAAATAAATATTTTTCTTTGACTTACATTGCGTAGCAAAATACATATTTCTCTATTTGATAGTAATTTAACGGATAGGGAGCGGTAGGAATTTATTAATCTTTCACTGATCTTATGAAGACTACAGGTGTCCCAAAATATGCACACACATTATACTTTGGTGGTCGCTTTTCAGTTAGTTGCTAACTGCTGTCAACTGTATCACGAAGTTAACAGTAGGCATTTTGAGCACCTGCACTAGATTCGCTAATTAACTAAGTGTCAGTGCTGACAAGTCTTTATTTCATTCAACGAATATTGTAGGGGAGACCAGGGTATCGGCTTTATTTCGTCTGCAATGCTTTGCGATCTATGGGTACCGGGTGAAATACCATTAGCATGCAGCACAGGGTCATGCCTTCTCAGTCAGCGCCATTTTGTGGTTACAGTTTTTGAAAAAATCACCCATGCTGGATTCTGCTCCTACATTTTACAAATTTTTCTCAACTTCCAGTGAAGGTAAGACCCATTCAATATTCATATCCACTTTGTTGAATGATGCATGATACAAGCTGTTTTCTTGAAAGTCTTGAAAACAATATTTTCATTTATTTTCATGATGCCATTTTTGTTGGGACAATCCTAATTTGAAAAAGTATACTCGGGGCTGGATGGGGTAGGCAGAACGGGGTACCCAGAGAAGAGGATCAAATGACAAGTGCCTGTATTGTGGCGATATCTATTGAACGGTGGATCCGGTATTCGTCTTGCTTGAAATTCGCCCATAACACACGTGCAGGTGTTGATAGTCACGATGATGAAGAGGTGAACGTGTGTGCCATCTGTGTTAGGCCTAATTAGATTTCAAATGTTTAAAGTTTCGAAATTTTACATTGTATACTAAATCATTTTTATATTCTACGTCATAATTATAAGATGATCCTTATCTTCTTATAACTTTTCAAACATATATATTAACCATACCCCGTATTGCCCCGAGCACGGGGCAAAATGAGCCAAGTTACAACTCATTATAAATTTCAAATAGATAATAAATCCACACAAGATTCCTCCGTGTGTTTGTCTTTGTTATTGTTCCTTCCACCTGCCTCCAAAGATCAAGTTCCCCGTTCTGCCTCGGGCTCCCCTATACATATTTTTGGGGCAAACTGTGTAAGCAAGAAGTGTAACAGCCTATATGTGAACGTGACGTCATTTGCAGGGTTAGACAGGCTAACGGATAACGGCGTTAAAGTTAGCCAGACCTGTATTATTCTATATCCTTGCGTTTCCAGTCTTTGCAAACGAAAATGCTGGTTATGATTTGATTTTCGTCTAGGTGTACCTAACTGATCATCAGTGGCTCTCAGGTGGGCCTATATTTG